AGGTCAGGGAATCCTTGGCCTTAGGACTGGCTAATTCCTTTCTAATGTGATGACGATTCTTTTGAAGAACCAGTCTCTCACTGGCCAAATCTCTTTAAAAGCATCTTGGGGGGTGCAAAAGGGGCCGAGAGGGAGTGCACGGTGGCAGGCCACACCAGGGCCAGAGGGGGGGCTCGGGTTACACCCTGCCTGCCGTGATGCATTGTTGGTGGGACGCGTAGGCTCCAGTGATCCCCCCACCCCCCCAGCCACCACCTCCATCCTCCTTCTCTCAGTGCAGTCCCTCCAAGAGAGGCTGCCACAGAGCCTCACAGAAACTCTGACACCAGTCCAGAGGATGCACTCTGCACATGAAACCTTACACTCAACTAATGGTTACAAATGTGTTTTCAAAGAAATCCCAGGTCTCTCATATAAGCCATAGACTGACACTCCTGGCTGTGCATATGGACGCACACACACTCACTGCCATGAATATGGCCATGCTAGCAGACAAAATTGGGGAGAATTGTTGTTGCCGAACTCTCAGATTTAAAAAGGACTGTATGAATGTCTAGATACAGTATGAAGTTCTTACTTGAGTTCACGCATGTGGGGAACAGGACAGAAAAACTAAAACGGCCTATAATTTAGATATTATTTACTGTTTAGAACAAAGATAACCAGACATCAGGAAGTCCGCTCTTTGATAAATTCCCTTTAGAGATTGCAGGTGTCTTGTGGCTTTGACTGACACTTCACACAGATTTCAGTGACCTCTTGCTTTCTTTCCCTCATTCCCTCAAAGACAATGTATTCCCTTCCAGGGGAGTGATCCCTAATTAGCTGTCAGGTGATAGTGTGCTGCTTTCATTGTACTGCCTGCTGCTGCACTGCAGGCTATGTGATCACCAGTCAGTCTCAGACTGAAGTGATAGATCATCTCGCTATACGTGAGACCCCTGCAGCTGAAAGAGACCACTTGGTCCTTACAAAGAGATCGCAACTCTCGTGTTAAGAAGACCTCAATATCATATCTCATAACAAATGGATCACTGGCCCAGAAAAGACAAAGGGATCACTTGAGAATATGCCTGTGCTCTCACTAATAAAAACAATAAGCAGTGATGTGTTTATCATCCACCAATAGATGACTGTGGACTGGATTTGGATCGGAATTATTTTGTGTCTTTTATGTGTGTCAGTTTGTTCAGTGTAGGGGATTTTAATGGCGAGAATATTGTCATATCATGTTCCAACATTCAGTGAATCTGACAAAGTCTTTTATAAAATCACAATCACATATTGCCATAAAAGTGCAAAAAATAACTATCCTTTCTTGTATTTTCCAATAAAAGCCATATCTTCTCACTTCCCAGGATATGACAGGGCATTCCTGATATAAAAGATATGATTTCTTCCTGTCTGTCTGTTAGGTCCACTGCAGGCTCCAGACAGTTCCAGTATCCACCCAGGCAGCAGAGGGACCTTGTTTGAAGGTCATGTCAGCACCAGGGCGTAAACGTTAGACCTTTTTGTGGTCAGGGTAAATGTACAAGGCCGCCCTGCGGGAGCACTCCTTCCCTCTCTTTAATCGGCGTGTAACAGGCCCTTGTAGAGCCAAACTGTCTGCGACACATCAGCACTTAGAAATAAAAACCCCTCACCCAACCCTGCAATGGCTGCGGTTGGAGAACGGCAGCTGGATCATTTCAGAGGGACAGCACAGACAGGTCTACTAACTGATGGGGAACAGGAAGGGAAAATCCATCGTAAGCTTAAATTCTGCATGTATATAGCATGTTTACACTCTTGAATATAACATAGTTATGAGCAGCTCTCCTGATAATGTTATCAAGAGGAAAATTACGGAACTGGTTCAGTACCTTTTTTTTTGACACAGTGGCAGTGCAGATACATTTTATGGCACCACTGTTGTCTTTTAGTGCTATAACAAATTGACCTAATTTGGATTCCAGCTTCTTTTTTTCCCCCAAAACAGTGTTGAGATTTGTCTCTCAGTAAAACTGGATTAAAGTTTAGACTCACTGGCTTAATAGTAAACCATGAATGTAAAATGTAGCCTTAAGGAATTAGCATGCTTTGTGTTCCCCTGTGATCTGGGTTACATGCCCAGATTATTTTAAAACTGTGTTTGTAACAGTTTTGTTAATGCTCCAATATTCAGCTCTGTAAAGCGCACAAAGTTAATGAGACAAAACAGAGAATATGCGGCCATCTCTCTGTCAGTGAATCCAATCATTTGAAGGAGCCGAGAAAGCAAACTTAACAGTTCTAATGCTCCAGCCGAGAAACTTAATTTACCAATTTGCAGGAAGACAAGATGGCAGGAAACAAGCCAATTTGCCACGTGTGCAGCGCACAACAAACCCCAGCCTTGCTCCACAGCCTCATGAGAGGTAATTATCCCTAAAAAAGAATGCCATGCTGTATTAAGATGTAGCCGCATCAAAACGAGGGAGACAGCCTCATTACAAGTAATTATGAGGGAATTAGAAACATCATTTAACTAAACGAGCAAATAATGTCCAGGATATTGAAGAAGCTGCCTGCACTTCTGCCGACCACTGCAAGTCCCATTACAAAAATTGTAGGTCTTTAATAGAATAATGACATGCTTTATCTTCCCTGCCTCTCTCCGAGAGGGTCTTGGAGCAGAGGGGAGGGCCGAGGGAGAGAGGGGAGGATGTGAAAACAACTGTTGCAGAGCTCTCTGTCTCTGTGGTCTCATGCTTGAGCGTGTAGCATAAGGCCTTCAAGATAATCCCCCTATTATCCTTACAAATACAAAATGGAGTGCACAAAATTATATCTCACATCCATTATTGTGTCAAAGGTAATGCTAATGGACTTATCTCTAAAGTAATAGCCAAATTCTCTGCACATACTGTAGTCTATAATAGTTTGATGCATATTGACCAGAGAAGGGCACTTCAGAATCAGAGTTTCAAGAAATGGTCGGTAATTTTACAATTACGCACAGTGCATTTTGCCATTAAAGCGCTAGTCCACATTACTGGGTAAATATTGTTCTTGAGTAGTTTGACTTAGGCATGGAAAGGTTTTCATTATGGTTCAAATAAAAGAGATTTTTCTATTCGACCTTCAGTTTTTAAACAGCTTAAAATATACAGTATATTAATGTAGACAGTCACAATATCACAAGTTTAACTAAACTGATTTTGAGACTGAACACCATTTTTGTTATTTTTAATCAAATAACAGACTTAAACTTTTAAAAGGCGTATTTATCTATTTAAAAGATATAGCTCCTTATTACAGGTTTTCATTACGATTTTGGTTTAAAGTAATTTATAAAGCTGTAACTTTACCTTATTTCATTTAATAAACTTAGTCCATATGTTGCATTTACTGCGGCCATTTGCCTGGTAGCATATTCCTCCCCTGTTAAGGCGAAGGGGTAGAGGCTGTGGAGGGGGGACAAACACAATTTCCCTTCAGCTCCTTCATTTCCAGTTGATATAAAACAGAATCATGAAAAATCACTTCTGCTCCAAGCTCTCCTTTTTAACCATTAGCCCATAAATACAGAAGCTGGTTAAAGCCAGCGGATGACAGGGCCTGCCTCAAAAATCTTGTTACGCTCCTCTCAAATTCATTTAGGGAGCAAACAGGTCTTGAGAGTTGTCTGGCTTAATGCATTGCGATCGCTTTTAAAACTCTTGTCTTGAGGCAGACCCGGGGCTCTGCATCTGCTCGTGGTGTTATACTTCATAACCTTCCACTCTAATATGAAGCCACACATACCCTCTTTAAATCAAATTGGTGCTGTAAATATGTTGGGAGGTAGTTGAAAAGCCCTCATCCAAATAAATGATGAAAGGAAGGGATATTTAAAAAAAAAAAAAGAAGAAGAAGAAGAAGAAATCTTCAGATGTTAGAAGAGAGCATTACTAATGAAAAAGTAAAGTGTTAGATAGTGTTTTTGCAGCCTATATCAATTTAATGTGGTCTCAATTAATTTAGTTTTGATCTTCATTTTATCTCAAGATGTAAAAGAGGTGATATCTGGGGGTTTTAATTCATTACGATTCTGTAAATATGCTATAAAAACTATCCTGAGAATCAATTTGCCGGGTGCACACTGTCTTTGCTTCTCCCTCTCCACACTGTGTGTAGCCCACAGTTTCCATTACTCCCATCATAAATTATACCACAGAGTGAATTACACTTGCTTTTCACCTTACCAGGCAGGTTTGATGAATCCTAAGGCACAACATATCATCTCAACAAATCTTCATCACCATGCCAGTCGCTGTCTCTTCGCAGTTTAAACCACTTCAAATCATTTTCATTGCCTTGCTATTAAAATTTGTAATTCACGCCTGCCATTGCAGTGATACATAGTTACATCGAACCCCATCCCCCCCACCCCACCTATTCCTCTCTTTCACTTTGGCTCTTATTTTCTCCACACATCTCTCTCCCTCTCGCCTTGTCTTCTAAATCAAACAACTTCAGGTGACAGGTCATGCAGATTTCCCAGAAGTCAGTGGGGTGCAAACATTCATCCAAAAGAGCAGCATATTACCGTCACACCTGATGACATAATGACCACTTGGAAACTAATAAACAGCTTCATTCAACCAAAGCTATTGCTCCTTTTCATAAGTGTTACTGTCCCCCATCGCTCTCTCTATCTCTCTTTTCACTCTCTCTCCTATCTGTCACAAATTCATCCTCCTGCACCTCACCTCTTCGCTGCTGCTGGAGTTGCCCATAAATCACTGCTGTTGTCTAACGCTATCCATTTTCCCAGAAACACAGGGCGGCTGTTGCAGAAATTGGGTCAGGCATAATCTGCAGGGCAGCAGAGCCTGGCTAGTCATGATTCTGCTAGGTAATGTAGCCATTAGCACACAGTGAGAGATTGGTGGGATGGGTAGAAGGGCTTGGTTGGGTGTGTGTGTTGGGGGGGGCTTGTACATGATGTGACACCCAAGAAAAGCTGGCAAATGACACAATTTTATCGCTCCCCATCAACCACAGGACACGTGCATGTGCTTCTGAGTGAGTGCGTGTATGTGTGTGAGATTATGGTCAGGTTTATGGTTAATATTTACATGTAGTGAATTGTTAATAGATAGTACACACTGACAGGGTGAGCTGATTTAGTGCAACACGCCTCTTGAAAACCTAAACAAGCTCCTGTGTTAACCAGACACACCACATGTGGTGTCCAGAATTCTTAAGGGAGCTGATAAAATAATTAACTACACAGACAGATAAAGAGCACAGTCTAATGACAGCCAGTCTTAAAGTTTGACAAAACGCCTCCTTCTTAGGTTTCCCCTTACAAGTCCTGATGCTTCAGAGCCGCAGAAGGCAGACTTCAAATGAGAGAAGATCCCGCCCAGAGGCGTGATTGGCCAGTGATAGTAAGCAACTCTTTTCCAGCCTGAAATGTGCTTTATCTACTTCTTATAAAGCCATGTGCCCTGGTCACCAATCTCTTAATTTACAGAGGAGTTCGCTGGTCACTAGCGTATACAAAAATATGACTAAAAAGGGCAAACTAATCAGATTTAGCTGTATCTCTCTGATGAACTCAATAGATTTAAACAGAGTTTGGTATTTTAGAGTATTTCCAGGCTAGTGTACTTAGCAATCAATATTTCACACCGCATTCCCTCGAAGTACATTTGTATTTCTTAAAAATGTAGTCAGATTAAAATGCACATCACAAGAATCCCACAACCTTTAGTATTATAAAATAACTAATATTTTTTGGTGTAATGTGAGAGCCAATAATCGTCTAGTGTTTCTGAATTTACTATCAGTGTCTTCCCCTTTTTCCCCTGACACACATTTTAGTTGTGGTTAAATCTTACATATAATAAAACAGTTAATTCAAGAATACAACGAGAAAAAAATATATTAAATTAATACCCATTAACATAAAAGGATGGGTGCTACTGTGGTCTTCAGGAATCTCAGAACAGCTGAAAATAATTTTGCTTTCTTTCTTATTTACAATAATTCTTAGCCCTGTGTGCTGGGGGGATGTACCAGTGGCAAAGTTTACAAATAAAACCAAGCAAACCAAATTTTTCACTGAAATAGAAAATTTATTGAATGAGAAGGTTATTGTTGAAGGTCTAGATTACAATAGAAACAATGATATTTTTCCTTAAATGGAAGAATTGAGTGTTTCCTGTCAGTTTTGCGTCAGGTGGAGTGAAACTTAAAATATCTTTGACGAACCAATTCGGAATAAAAAACAGTGTAAAAGTCGGCCTTTTTTAATGTATTTTTCAAATGTGATATGAAGGATTAAATCCAGTATTTTATCACTTAAAGAAGAAGGAAGTTAAAATAAAAATACAAAATCGTTATAATAATTATACACACGGTGTATTTTATACATATAGGGAAGCTTGATTGCTTTCTTTCGAGACATACAATAACTGCATAATAAGAGTTTTCTCAACAAAAAAAGTGATACAATTGATATACAAGGCTTATGAGACACCTAGAATGTCGTATTGTTTTGTAATGCTTTTTTCGTGGACTGCAGTGAACATACAGCAGAGTCAATCAGTACTCGATTTTGTTATACAAGTTGTATAAAGGTAACGCTGGCAGGTTGCTTCCCGGGTAGTACAGGGGCGTCGGAAACGCGATAGACCTAGGGACGGGAACACGCAGTAAGGAGTTATCTCTGAAAACCAGCGGCATCCCCACTAGTGTCTGTGCGGAGGCGTGGGCCATGTTGGCCGCCTCCAGTTCAGCAGAGAGCTGTCGTTTCCATTTGTTCCTCCTGTTCTGAAACCACGTCTTGACTTGAGTCTCCGTCAGCTGTAAGCTGGAGGCTAAGCAGGCCCGCTCCGAGCTGCTCAGGTACCTCTTCATGTCGAAGGTGGACTCCAGCTGGTACACCTGACTCCGGGAGAAAACCGTGCGCGTTTTCTTTTTGGCCGAGCTGCCCTGCTTGTCCGCACCGTCTGTTTGTCTCTCCTCCGACAGAGGTGACATTTGATGGCACGGTCTCTCCTGCTCCTCCTTATAATCCTGCAGCAGAGGCTGTGACAGGTGCGGCCGCCGTGCGAGCCCGTCATTTCCAGACAGAAGTCCTTTAGCGGGACCTAAACGCAGCAGGGGGAGAAAGATGTGATGAGTAGGCTATCATAAGCGGTCTATGATTTAAGCGTGCTTTTTAAACGACTGAAAAAAAAATGTTTTACATTTTTTAGACATACTTAGTTTGAGAGTTCGTCAAGTGTGAACTCTGACTTGTTAAATCGACTGCTGAAAGCCTGTGACTTTTTAAATAAACAATTCAGCGTGAGTGTGCACGGTGTACAGTAAGCTATTAATTAAATCCAGCTCTATTTAACGCTCAATTGACGACGTGTAGTGCAGCCATTTTGGAAACATGTTTCGTCAATTAGGAGGCTCAATTAAATTTGAAATGAGAGGAAAGACAGAGGGCTAATTATTAGACCTTCCACTCTTCCGCTGCTGATGCGATAGTCTGCGCAGAACGTACAAGTGGCAGCGGATGGTCTGCGTGTCAGTGTAACAATCTCAAACACAAGCTAGTGAAAAGTGAATGAAAGTGCAAACAAAGCATTAAACCTGTTATTTCTGTGAAAAAAGAAACTCAGCTGAATAAGTTTGAAAGTGTATCTGTGGGTGATAATATTGTTTTAATATTTCTTTGGTTTGTAATTTTAATAATAATAATAATAATCCTTACCTAAACAGGAAAAGTTATGGGGTTGGTGCTGGGTGCACGGCTCGCTGTGACCCGTGTCGGAGCAGAAGCAGTCTGCTGAGTCCTCCCCGCCGCTGCACTCCTCCTCGGACGACACCGACAGTGAGCGCCTCCGCGGCGCTGGCGGCGGCCCCTTGGAGAGCTCCTTGGTCCCGGAGCGCGGCTCATCGGATGGCGTGCCTAAAATAGACTGGATAGTAAAGCTGGAAATCGGGCCCGACGAGCACTTGCTCCCGCTGTCTTCTGCGCTGCTCATTCTCGCTTCATAACAGTATTGAAGTATTGACTGAATCGGTCTGTCCCCTTGTATTCCGTTATTGCTTTCTACGGGGTTGGTGCGCAAAAAAATTACGAAAGCGCCTTTTGTCGGCTTTTGTCAACACAATCCGGTTTAATTGTGGAGTTTCAACATTGAAGGAGTTGGAGGTGTTTTTTCTAGAGCTCGAGGTACATGAGTGTATTCCTGGTCCTCCTCCTCACGCTCTGGATCAGAGGCAGCAAGGCTGCGTTGCTTCATTTGCATGTAGGTAAGCTCCTCGTGAGCCAATGGCAGCCTCCAGCATGAGCCCGGAAATTTCAAACTCCTGTCTAGTTTTTTTTCGGGGTTTTTTTTTTTCAGATATGATGAGAAGAAGGAGAAAGCCGAAGAGGAGTATTGGCCTTCATTTTTACATTCACTTAAAACACTCAGACTAGGCGCCCTAATATGCAGACTATGGTCTGTATGACTCAGAAGAGTCACCAAACTTTGACTTCTTTTCCTGTATTTTTATTGCTTACAAGTGTGTTAAAGTATTTCGCTTTAACGCTTACAACAGCTTGGTGTAAGTGCGTCTAAATTGCGTTGCCTTCCATAATTTCAGACAGTATATCTCAGTTTATTAGTTATGGAAATGTATAATACCCATCCAAGAAAAGAGGAACTGTCGTGTCGGCTTTTTCCGATTATGATAAAACTGGCTGGCGTGACGGCAACGCACACACAGTCTTGGAACTAAGACAAAGGCGTAACTCATTTTTCCTGAAAATAATAAACTCATTCCGCGTCCATTATCTACGATTAAGAATTAATTTGATCATTACTGAGCTAATCTGCCTCGTGATGACCGCGCGTGGAGTGGAGGCCGGCTAATTGATTGACTAATTGATTGAAGGTGGTGGGGGCTGAGTGCGCGCGCGCGTGTGTGTGAAGAGGGGATTTGCTTCCCACCACCGCCCATCTCCCACCTTCACCGCCCATGCTCTTTCCGTGCCTCTCCCTGGTTGTGTGTGGATGCGGGACAGCTGCGGGGCTTGAGCTCGAGGTTCGGGCACATTATCCCTCTTTTACTGGTTTGTGAGGAAGCCCCAGACATATTACAAATGGTCAGCTTTAATCATTATGTCAGCGCCCTTCCTGGTAGCAACCCAAGCGGCGTTCGGTGTTAAGACAGCTTGGAAAAGGGAGAAGACGGTGGCTGTGGACGTGATGCTGCTCCTGATGCTGCTGCTGACGGCCGTTTCTGTCAGCAGCTGCATCACGGCAGTCAGATGGATGCATCCGGATCCACCCGTAAATATCCTCAACTGGCAGTGGGACCAGCAGCTGCTAAATGATCTTACTAAAACGCTTACGCAGGGGAGGCTTTTACTGAAGGGGGGCAAATATATGAGGGCAGCCAGGGTGGATGCTGAATTTATGGTGGTTACACATAAGGCGTGAAATCTGCAATGACAGTTAAATGGGTTTATTTTATATGCCGCTCCTTTCAAACAAAGACCTTTGTCGGCGCAGGCGCCTTCATCACTTTCAGACGACTTTTGCAAAGTGAGATTGGTTCATCACGGAGATAGTGGACATAACAGACTGCCATTGGGCTGCAGAGAATAAATTAAGCATGTTTTTATTTTTTTTTATTTAATGTCAAAGTGGTGTTTATAGGCCAGCAGTACAGGCTGAGCAGTATAGGTCCTTCTAATGGAATGGAAATGTTCATCCCGTACCTATGTTACATACGTTTCAAGGCCCGGCGAAGCCCAAACAGCAAGGAGTGGGCCTAAGTCCGCGCTCTATCACAATGATAGGTGGTGTATGGCCGCCCTACCGCAATAACAGAACAAGATCTTTAGCAAGAGAGAACGGTCTGAGAAAGACAGATGAAGTTATGAGGCGCTTTGATCTGGGAATCAAGCTTCGATAAATATTAAACAAAGACCCGTTACACGTGTGTATTATGATATATGGCGTGTCCAAGTCTAGAATAAGGAAATTACCAGAGAAAATGATATCAATAAATTTTCTAAGTATAAACGTTGATTATGTTTCGATTTTCATTCAAGAAAGCGGGGCCTGCTCTTTTTTCAGGAGGCGTTTGGGTGCCTCCGTGCGCGCATATTTTGTGTGTATGAGGGTGTGCGCGCCTGAGAGAGAGAGAGAGAGAGAGAGACAGAGAGACAGAGAGAGAGTTGTAAACGCAAGCAGAGCACCCAAGCCCTGGAGGTGTACAATTTATGTAATCTGAGTGTGGAAATGAACTGGGTAATTTATTGGAAAACACAAAGTCAGGAAGATTGGATCAGTACAGCCTATCCAAGGGCTCCTATCCATCAAGTTCCAATTAACAACCTAACCATTGAGTTTTAATGGCTTTCCAATCTACTGCCCTGATAGACTCATCAATTCCTCGGGGAGAAATTAAGAAAATCGACCGCCCCTCGGCGTTTCAGTGTCATTCTTCACAGCAACTATATGTCAAATTAAAAACACAATTAAAATTTAAACTGTTCCAATCAGACGGTGCCCCGCAACCTATGTTTCACTTAATAGAACTTTGATGAAAATCTGATGCTCGCATTCAATCAGGAAAGCAAATGGGATGGGTTTAAAACAAGATTTCCTCTTTGAGAAGTGTCAAAAGAGTTCTTCAAACGCATGACTTTGGCAACTTGAGGTGTCGACGTCGCTTTTATCTGCACGCAGATTAAGGGAATTCACTGGTATACGATTTGTATATGACTGTATGCAGTTTTTTTTTTGTTTTTTTTGCAGTAAAGAGCCGAAGATCCTTTATAAGGAGGTTTGCTTAAACGTTTCTGTACCCACAATCACAACAATTTGGCCCATTTTGCCAGAAGAAGCCAGGAAAGATGATGTTTGTTGTTGGATATGACTTTTCAAAGATATCGAAAACTTTAGAGGTCAGGGTTTGAGGACAAACGTGGATTCGGACTGGGACTCTGTTTTGGTATGAAAACGTCAGATTCCCCAAAGATCTCGGGGACCTTATTTAATCTTTATTTTTTTGTCACACATACATATATATATTTATATCTTTTTAAAGACAATAAAACATTGCTTATTGCTGTCAAAATAAATGCTTTAATATCAAGCCTTTAAGTCCAGCTATAATGATATGTAACACATTTGAGGGGATGCAAGTGGCTACAAAGAAGAGGCTAGCATTATGCAAGGTGGTCGGGCCACTTGTGTGTTTCCAAACTGGCACTAAAACCTATGATAGGGCTCAAAATTACCAATTCAGCGCTCCATTTTAATGTAATACACTAAGCGCAGTCCCCGGTCACGTCCGTTTGTCCCAGTTCCTGCAAATGCAGCTACTTTATCTGATTTTGGCCCCGCTCGCTCCCCTTTCTCCTTTACATAAAGATGTCGCACAAATGGAAATTATTGAGTGGTAATTTTTTCAATTTATGCGCGCAAATCAAGGTCATAAGCCGAGCCAGGCGGCGTGTGAACGTTGCTCTTACTTGACGCAATATGCTGCAGACGTTTACGGATCAATATGAGCCAGAACAATAATCCCATAACAATCTATTAATTTGCAGTAATGGGGCCATGTTGCGCGTGCATAGTAGTTGCACGTCAATACTTCTATGATCTGACGATATTTGAATGAACCCTTTGTCTCACGATGAGGTCATCATATAGAGTTTAGAGCTGACTGATTCATTTCCAATAACTGTGTTAGCCTGCAAATGGAAGCGCAAAATGGCCTTTGATGAAAAGGTTGTTGTGATGTAGGAAAACGCTTCTCTGAGCTGGATTTTGAATTTCAAAAATATTCTTTATGGTAATGTTTTCAGTGTTTGGGGAATGCAAATACACCACAGAGTAGTCTTTTATTAGATTTGCCATCCACTCTACTGCAGGCTAAAACTGCAGAGGCTCCTAAAACTGTCTTCAAACTGTGAGGCTAGAAGCAATTTGTCTTCCCGCGCCTCAGACACTATGAATACACCACAGCGAATGAAGCCTTGCTGAGAGATCGTGTTTTAATTAAATGGACTGTGAAAAAGCAGGCCGTAGTTTCTGTATGTCGTTTCTGGATCCTGCATCTGATCCACCTGATCCCTAATCACAGTCTAGAGGTCGATTCTGCTCAGATTCATTAGAAAAAGAATAGAATCACGTAGACATAAAATATTGTATCCTATTTCTTGTCTAAACCAGGATTTATTTTTGCAGTAAATTATTATCAGTTATCGTTGCTATTTACGGCCTGACTGGTGTTCAGCTAAACAGAGGATGACGAGTGTTGCCTCCCTCTTTTCATAGCCTCCTCCCCCAGATCGGTGTTGCTTTCGCATAAATTCTTAGTTACGTTCATATTTAATAATAATAATAATAGTAATAATAATAATAATAATAATAATGTACATTTTAAAAACAAACATATGTAATTAGATTTTCAAAAATCAGTCATGGTTCATTTAGACTTGATATAATGTGTAATCTGATGAAACAAACAAAAAAAATATTAATATAGAAAAATGTGATTCTGTTTGTCTTTTATAAAGCTCCAGCAGTGTCCACATTTCCGCTGATTCTCTGAAATGACGCAATAAAATTAGAAGGCTCTTTAAATATCTCCACTTTTGCTCAGAATTTGTGTTCCTGTTCCGAGAAAACTTACAGGCTGATTATTTGCTATATAAACCGGAAGAACTGGCTACATTTATTTTATATATGTAATCTTGAAAAATGTAGGTATATACAGAAACCACGCGTGGCTTTTCAATGTCCAGTGACACCTGTAGGATTGTATGCATAGAAAGCACCCACAATGTGGAGCATTGCAGAGTAATATGCTTCAACCGAAAACGCTGTGAGGAAGTAAAAAACAAAAAAACATCTGTACATATGATCTTTCTTTTTATTTCCCTCTATATTGTTTATATTGTTTTTTCTTCTTCCTTTTGCAATTTGCACAGTTTCCCACCCTAATATTTATTATTTATTATTGTGTGTGTGTGTACGTATATATATATATATATATATATATAATAAAAAGGAATGGTTAAGGTCGCGGCGTTTAGCAACATCAGGTGGGGATGCTTGTCATAGATGCCGACATCCTTACACGCACGCTAACACAACCCAACACACAGCTACAAAAAACACGCGGTCACGAGAGAGAAAAATGTTAAAAGACAGCAGCTCATGCACAGGGAGTAATTTCCACTTCTGAATACATTATCCATAATTTTGACAAGATGGTGGCAATTACGCATCTAATTGACCGAGCCACTTTTTATGTAAAATCACGCTTCAAAGTGCATAACACTAAGATGATTACAGAAGCCCACCTGCTCAAGCTTAGAGAGCTTATTCAGGCATGCGCACGCGTGCACAACTATAGAGTTGTTGGGGTTTGTTTTATAATAATTCAATTTTCTGCATAAAATATAGAAAACAAGCTAAACATAGCTCTATTTAACAACCTGTTATTTTTTTAGACGACAAAAAATGTGTTAAAATGTACG